TCCTCGTTGGTGAGGGTCTTGTTGCCCTGGTCCGTCTTGCAGTGGATCTGGACATAGTTGAAGGTTCCATCAGGCTTGATCCATTTGTAAGTGTGTCCGGAGTAGCCATTCATGTGGCGGTAGGAGTAAGGAGTGCCACGATCGCTGAAGAGATGCATGACCTGGTGGGCGGCTTCCTGGTGGGTGGAAAGGTAGTCCCAGAACATCGTGGCATCCTTCAGGTTGGTCTGTGGGTTCCTCTTCTGCGTATGGATGAAGAGCGGGAACTTGGAGGGATCACGCAAGAAGAAGACTGGGGTGTTGTTGAAGACCCAGTCCCAGTTACCCTCCTCAGTATAGAATTTGGTGGAAAACCCTCTAGGATCACGAGCGCTGTCCGCGGATCCCTTCTCTCCACCGACAGTAGAGAAGCGGGTAACAAGTTTCGTCTTCTTTCCGACACCCCTCAGCATATCAATGGTGGTCTAAAGGGAATCGTTAGCCCTTTTATTTTGTAATGCACAATATCTCCGCAACGTTGCAGCTGACTGTTGAGCATAGGAGTAGTTTAGACTTACGATATCACTGATATCATCCAACACCTCGAATTCACCATAGGCTCCTGCCCCCTTGGCATGGACTACTCTTTCCGGGATCCGCTCGCGGTCGAAATGCGCGAGGAGATCGATCAGGTGGAAGTCTTGGAGGAGCAAGGGTCCATCCGGTCCAACGCGCTGGGAGGACTCAGGGTCCATGACCTATATATCGTTCAATAGTCAGCATCAAGCTAACTACCACGGTTCTATTGTACGTCTCTATAAGTTCTTCTCTCCGGTGGGATATAGACGGTTAGCTCATGATATCAGATGGGAAGATATACCGGACAGCCGTTGGAGGTGGTGTAGGTGGGAGTTTCATTGTAGCGGTAGGTGTCTATATGGTAGGTAAGAACATCGGTTAGCCCCTGATCCTGCACTCATTGCTGGTCCTTTTACACAAGCACATAGATATATGTATGTATGTCTAGGCCCTAGCGTATAGGGCCTAAATAGGGGGCCATGCTAGGGATGTAGAGAGAGAGTACATACTGAATTTATCGTCAGCACCCATGATGGCGGTGTTGGTGACACTAGATGTCTACAGGATTGATAATGAGACAGTAGAGAAGCTTTGATAGTTACAGTAGATTGCCTCTTATATTGGTGGAAGGGGATGGGAAGTCACAGGATGGGATGACGAGATGTGATGCCACGAAAGGCCAGGAAATAGATACCTATACAAACCTTGGGCAGCGAGACATTGGGAAGAGGAACAATCGGGCGGTGCCGAAAGGAGGGGAAAGGGGGAGTCTTTATATACTATCCTCCAGACATATCGCCGAGAGCCGCGTTTGTTGGGGATCGCCGGGAGTGGGGTACCGGTAGTCAAGCAGGCAGTCGAGTCGTGTGCTGGCGCTGCGGGGGAAAACTTCGCATCACAGACAGCCTGAGACAGGTAGTTAGTTACATGCGCCGCCTAGCATTTTGGTTGAACACTGGAGGTACCTCCACATGTAGTTACGTGTACCATCTGCATCTTCCGTTTAGCCGTTGGAATCGCCCCAAGTTTCTATATACTATACTTCAGCATAGATCTGGTAAATACCTGTGCTTTCTTGCCACAGCACAGCACCCTACTTGCCACGTTTACAGATATACAAAAATAGAACATCTTCTCGTTTCTAGTTAACTTCAGGAGCATACCTAGGTGGGTAATTCATCCCGTTCACCCCGCACCTGGCATTGACCCATAGCGCAGTCGGCTAATGCTGACGGGCCATCAACACCCTGCCAATCACGGCAGTCCTAGTTAACTTATAGGTCAGAAGAAAATGTTCCAAGGATTGCTTGTCCCTGAACTCCCACTTACTTTTATGTAGGATTGCTTAACTGCTACTACTACCTACTTTTTTCTTCACGGCTGCTTACCTACCGGCCCCCTTGCTGCCACAGCTTCCACTGCTGTTCTATCATATGGACCATATGCCCAGGGTTGGTTGGAGGGAGCAACAATATTCGAAAATTAGCTAAGATAGAGATATCGGTAACACGGAGTCAGTACCCTGGATATCTCAGGCCATCCCATCTGGAAAATAGCGCTCTTTGCCAGTGGTTGAATCAATCTTACCTCGGAAGCGAGCTAACTTTAGCCATGGACATTCTAGAAAACTTCCAGCCAACGGGCGGGAATTTGCCATGGCCAGATAGAGCTATTGGTCTTTGTGGCCAGGATATAGGAATTTATTGCATTTTCCGGCGGACTTCCGTTGGGTTTGATACAGGGAGAATGGGGACTCTACGCTTGCGGCCTTATTTGCCCCATACGGCATCCCGGTCCGATTGCATCAATACGGCAGCAGCATAGTGACATTTGGGTCAAAATGGGTATTTCATACTACATTATTAGCATTAATTACGATGAGCACACACACATTATTATTGATGATACTGATTATATTACTATGCGTAGTAATTGAGATCTTCTCATTGGAGGTTGGATGAAATAATGACCCACATCAGGGGAGTTCTAGACCCGGAAGTGTCTAAACTTATTTTTAATGAACCATACCTGGTTCAGCGGGTCTCTATCCAGGCCGCCTCTATTCAGGGGGGGTTCTCTATATCCAGAGAGTCTCTATACTTTGGGATTCTATACCTGGGGCCTCTATCCCCTGAGAGGGGTCTATAGACTGCTGTAATCAAATTGCATCAATAATGGGTTCACATTACCTCAGCACACAGAAACAGCGAGTAGGTTGTTTTGTCGAGATAGAAAAGTTTCATTACATCTATACTCTCTCATGGACAAAGCCAGTACAGTTAAACTGATCATTACGCTATATACAATCAACCGATAGCGGTAGGATTAAAATCCCGCTCCATGGCTAGGACAGCAAAAAGGCTGTTACTTTTCACAGGTAGTTATTTAGTAGATGGGGCTGAGCACCCCCTGATAGCGCGGGTAATCAGCGCATGAGTAGTTACTCCGGATGTGCGCGATATACGCCGCCCAACACGAAGCAGATCAGCTTTCTATCTCCAGGCACTGTGGGGCGGGCCCATCTACAAGATCAACAAGCATATTATTACCTCGAGGATAGGATGTGACCGCCCGACACTGAGATATTCACCGTTACAGATCAAAAACATTGGATCTAACTCTTCTCTGAGGAATGTGGGCCAAGAAAGAAAAAGCCTCCAGTATGTTCCAAAATGCTCTGCGCTTTCCAGAGGGACAACTTCCTTACTTTTTCCCACAAGGGCGCCGTCATCGCATTATTAAAACCTGTCTATACGGTCTAAGCGATGGATCCTAATGGAGCTTATCTCATCCTACCGCCCGCCCAGCTTATCTCAGCATGCTCAGCCTCTCTTCTCGATATTTTCGGATTAGCGCGACCAACTAAACTCCTTTAGACTTCTGCCAAGTCCTGCTAACTTCTGAATCAATAAGAGACTTCACATGTGCTCACAACCTAATATCTCATAGAGAGTCTGAGAAGAAATAGTTTCATTATATATGAAAAATCAACTTCACTTATATAAAATATTCAATTAACTTTGAAATTATATATCTACTCTAAATATCTGTCTAATCATTATTAAACTGATATTTTTTAAATTCTCAGTTATTCTGCTATTATCTCTGCTACTTTACAACTCACTATCTCTTCTTATCATATTATAATCATTGATAAAAGACAGTATATCTTTTAAATCTCAAGACACTCAATATCAGATATACTTCAGTTAATATTCTTTATCACTCAAAGATGAATTCTCTCTACAATCACTACAGTCTCTTAATAATGTAGATGATAAATATAATATATTAAATAGTAATTTAACAGAGCTTGAATCTATTAATACTTCTTCAGAATTCAAGATCACTGATACTGATACTGATACTTTATAAGCTTATTCATAATTAAATCACTGTGACTCACAGTATCTGTCTACAATATCTTATAATTAGTAGAAAAGACAGTTAAAATTATCTTATATTATCAGAATATTACAGTAAAATAGTTGAAGAATAAAGATCTTTATAGAGACTTGAATTCAGAGTTCTGATATCTTAACTTATTAATAATATAGTACTTCTATAAAGCAGTGAAATACACTATATTCAGTACTTTTCAAAGCAGAGATATTCAATGATAATCAATATTATTGTAACATAGCAGAACCGAAGCAGTAGCTAGTTAGCAGTGATACATAGAAGTAGTTGTTTGAGAAGCTATATAAGTGAGCTTGACTATCTTACTTGAATAGTGAGCTCATAGACTACAGAGTTATTGCAAGAATATCACAGATATAGTACTTAGTATACTAAGAAGATTATATAAGACATGCAGTAACTCTTATATATATTTCAGTAGAAGTAAAACAAATCACTGATTTCTTTAATGAGAAGTCAGTATCTAGCTATTCTATATAGATAATAAGTGAATACTCTTCTCTCATTTCATAAGTGAGAATAACTGAAGTGATATCTCAGCAGCATCTTATTATCAAGAAAGAGTAATCTGCTGATCTTATATAGAAGTAGAGTTCTCATATTTATCAATCAGATCTTTCTATGATATATCTGAATAATATCATAGAGTGATTGAAAATCAGTTCAGATAGAATGAAATCATCTGTATAGAAGTAATAAGCTGTGTAGAACTATAACAGAGTCTTGATACAGCTAGAAGCATGACAATGTTCTTCTCTTTAAGAGTATAGTTTCTATGCTCTTAAGATTACTGAATTAGAAATTATCTTTGTTGTATAGCAACAGTTATCAATCAATTGACAGTACATGTGCTGTGTGTGATATAAAGAAATAGATGAGTTTTTCTGCTGACTGTGTAGATCTTTCTTTTCTCATCTTCATTCAAATTAAACACATGATAAGTGGGTTTCTTATATATCAATTTGAAATGTGAAAAATGTAGTTAACAAGTGACTTGCAGATCTCTCAATATATTCCATCCTATGTATGAAATTCCCTGCAAAAGTGGTGTGTTTTAGGGGCAAAGCTAACAGTAGTGGCAGGATTTTTCTGAAAAGATCCCCCCCCCCCATGACACATTTTTCTCCCCCCCCCCCATCTGCAATAGTGAGTGCATGGGAGCATCATCCTTGGGAGACAATAAGGGGCTTATTCTGACATTTTCTAGTGAATAATAAATGTCTTCGTGGTGCGGCTGCGGCCTCCGTGGCCGCCAAGAAAGCCAGGTTGGAGGCGGCGGCGTCAATGAGCCGCGGGAGCACCGCTCCCATTGCCACACCTCCTCCTGCTTCTCTTGCGGCCGCGGCGGTTCTGCCGGTCGGTGCGTCTGCGTCCGGTCCGTCCCCTCCCGCACGCCCGAGCCCTGCTCGGGATGCTGCTGGGTTGGGTCCGCAGGGTCCCGCGGTTCCTTCGCCTTCTCCCTGTGGGGAGGCTCCAGTGCAGTCTCTGGCCAGCATCACCACTTGTCTGCACTGTGCTAAGCAGCTGAAGAAGAGAGGGATTTTATACATCTATTTCTTCTCTCACTTCTGTTATTTCTGTTATATCTGTAACAATGACTCCTGTCTCTCTGTAAGTATTATCTCACAGAAAGACATTGTGTCAGCTCTGATAAGAAGTCTAGATACTTAAGCAGTACAGAGCAAGAGTCTCAGAGCTTCAAGTGTTAATAAATTCTGTCAAGACTGAGAAGATCTCTCTTACTTATCTGTAGAAGAAGATGAAAGTGTGAGTCTCTAAGATGAAAAAATATCTCAGAATGACTAGTCTTAAGAAGAGATTAGCTGATACTGCTGTTGAAAGTGTTATAGAGATTAATCACTGATTGAAGAGAATCTTGCTTCAGTTAAAGCAGATGACTGAGATGCTTTATAAGTTGATAAATTGATACTTTTAATATCTCTTATACTCTTCTGTAGCATGCTTCTCTGCAGTGCTGCAGTACTAACTTCTCAGCAGATAAAGATATCAGTACTGAAGACTTTAACAGTGAAGAATGAGTTTGATAAGAGTGTGATTATTGATGAGTAGACTCTGATTTCTCTTTTTACTTTTTCAGTGAGCTGTGACTCTATTAGAATAGCAGCAGTCTGCAGATTAATAATATTAATCTTTTTATTAATTTTAAATATCTCTTTTCTTTTAACTGCTTCAGAAATGTTACACTTGTATAGTCTTATTAAACTTTTAAAAATTCTTTAAGAGAAAATAGAAGAAGAGTACTATAGAGTCTATAAGACACTGACTCATTACTGTGAGATTATCTCTAAAAAATTCTTTGAGAAAAATGAGAAGTCTTAAGCAGTATTTCTTATTTAATGTCTCTGATGTGTAACAGAGTAATCTCTACTAATTATTTTATAGATTATAATCTCTTTCTCAGTATTTTTCAAATACTCAAGTAGTTCTTATAAATTCTCTAATAATAAATAATCTTCTTATTTAATAAGATATTGAAGCTTACTATAATATATTTACTTATTTAATATTTTCTTTATAAGATATTCAGTATCACTCTTAATCTCTATATTATCTAATCAAGATAACTCTACTCTGAAGTATTACTTATAGAGCTTTAAATAGAAAATGTGAAAAATAGAATAAATTAATTTCAATTCTGTAAGTAATTTCAACTTATATATCTGCTTATTTATTACTCTTATTACTGAGAAAGATTCTAGTCACTGCTTACTAAGCTTCTTACACAGTCTCATTGTCTTGATATTCTTTACTGAAAGTAGTACTTAATTCTCTATTAAGAACTTCATTGAAAGATGTTTTTAATTATAGTATTTTATCTACTACTTCTGAATGCAGTGAATGCTTTTCACTATCTTCTTATAAATTTTATTCAAAAGTTTCAATCTTACTTTTACTTCTAGTACTGAGAGATACTTTATTCTCTATATCTGTCTAACATTCTGACTGTTTATTTCTCTCTTTGAAATATTGTCTGTGATGTCACTGAGTAATAAAGAATTATATTTATAATAAGTATAGAAAAAAAATATCTTTAAGATTGTATTCTTTATATTATTATATATGAATTCAGTGATTAGAAGATGTTTAAGTCAATTATTCTAATAATATAAATAGAATACTTAAAGATACTGTTCTAGTATTTAATTCTAATATTCAGTCTGATCATCAGTCTGTAGATGAAATACAGTACTGAGAAGATATCTTATTATAAGATAATAGTAAAAAGCTGATCAGTATTTACTGATAAAGAGAGATTCTTGATCTGTTATTAACAATTTCAGAGCACTGTGATTATAAATGATGATATCTAAAAATAGATCAGTTAATTCAGAGACTTTAATCTTTTTATAAATAGAAATATATCTGATTATCTTTGTAAAGTAATTAATAATAATTAAAATCAAGTTATATTCTTTGACTCTTGTTAACTTTGACAGATTAACTATGAAATTCATTGATAGATTCTATCATGAGCTCTTTAAAACAGGTAGTAATATCAACTTATTATATTACTTATACTGTAGAATCTTTATTCTTTGATAGATATTATAAATCTTAATATACTCTTTAATATCTATCTGAAGCTTGTTTTAAGTATATTTATATTTTAGAAGCTTCTCAGTCTTCTCTAATCTGAAGTGCTCTGTATGAGAATTATTATAATAAATTCTTAATAACTTCTGATACACTACTCTGCTACAAGAAATGAAGACTGAACTATTCAGTAGTAGAAGTTTATATTCTTCTAATTATCAGTGACTTGATTTCTTAGTAGTACTGTTCTGCTCAGAGTCTGTCTCTTTCAAGTTTAAACTGAATTCTTTCTTCTTTAACTTTTAAATTTAAGCTGCAGTAGAGACATTTCTCTTCTATAACTTATTAATAAATTTTAAAAGTAGTTAAGTTGAAAGATTGTAGACTGTTTTATTCTTTATCAATTCAATAATTGTAAGATATAATATAAGAAGCTTATAATCTTTAGTATCAGTTCTCTGCAGAGATCTGAGTTCTCTTTTATCTTCTATACTGAGTCACACAGCTGTCTCTCTGATACTGTTTTCAAGCTTTAGAGTATTTTAATTCTCTGCAGTCAGCTTCTTCTACAGTGATAACAGAGATTCTTTTATAGAATTCTTCTTCACATTAATAATATTATAATCAGACTGTTTAGATAGTATATCAGCAGAGTTAAGCTGATCTGAACAGTATTAAATATAGAAATTATACTCTGAAAGCAGCTCTGTTCACCTGACTTAACATTCTGTCAAGCTCTTTATTATCAAGAAATAATATAGATTTACATAATCAGTGAGAACTTACACTGAGTACTTACTATTCTGAAGATAATGTTATCAGATCTTAAAGAATTTAATAATTATTAATATCTTCTAATTATGAATATCATATCTTCTCTGCATAAGTAATAACTTCTTGAAGAAGAAGATCACTGATCTTCATTTACAGTGTCTTATAGACTCTGTGAAAAAGTCTTCTCTTACAGATAATTCATTATCTATTTTCTCAGAGATAATTATTCTCTGATTCTTTCAATGTTGAAAGATCTTCAGTGTTAACTGTGAAAAGATTTCACAGATCTCATTTCTGAATATATCAGTCTCACACTGACTGAGTAAGTCAGAGTTAAAATGATTCAGTATTATAACATCTGTGAAAGCTTATTTCAATTTCATAAATATCTACACAGTATCTTGAGTGAGAATAAACAGTTCTATTTTTCTGTCTTTCACACTTTTCTTCAACAGATCTGTAAGAGAAGCAGTAATTTATAAATATATATAGATAAATTATCTATAGAAATTTACAAATTCTAGAAATATCTACATCTTATAGTACATCTGCAGTGTCAGTCAGTTTTCAATAACAGAGACTCAGCTTCTATTCATTGAAATGTCATTTACTTTAATAATATAATCTAAGAAATCAATCTTCTGTATATAGAATGAGTATTTTTCAGTGTTTATATAGAGTTGATACTATCTCAAGTAACTTAACACTTCTTGAACATGAGTATCATATTCTTTCTCTGATTTTAAGAAGATTAAAATATCATTTAAATATACTATACAGAAGATGTTGATAAGGCTCTACAGTGTCTCATTTATATAAATCTGAAAGATAACTGAAGCATTACAAAAATCAAAAGATAAAACAAGATATTCAAAATTATTGTACTTGATATAAAAAGCTGTTTTTCAAATATCATCTTTATTAACTCTGATTCTATAATAGATATTCTGTATATCAATCTTCAAGAATATCTTTGCTTCAGATAATTGATTAATTATCTTATCAATTAACAGTAATAAATAGTGATTCTTAACTGTCATCTTATTAAGGCCTCTGTAGTCTATATATAGATGTAGTCTATCATTCTTCTTAAGTATAAAGAGTATAAATGTCTCTACTGAACTCTTTGATAAATATATTCAGTTCTTTGATTGCACTTCTTCAAGATATTTATATAGAATATTCAACTTCTTTACAGACAAGTTGTAAAGAGATCTGTACAGTATTATTACACTGTCTTCAAGATAAATCTTATATTATATCTTGATATCAGGAAACTTCACTACTTCTCTTTCTGAAAAGATATTTTTAAAATCTGTAAAAAGACATCATATACATTTATCTTCAATGATAAATACTGCTGCTAATCTTGCAGTAAGAGTGATAACTTCTTCATCTGTTCTCAAGTCTTAATCATCTACTATACAGTATATCAACTCAATCTTTTTCTCAAGATTCTTTTAATGAAACTCTTCAGATTTCTCTATTACTATCTCTTCATTAGTGAGATAGTACTGTCATATCTGAATAACTCAGTTAATAAGAGAATTGTTTTCTCTTAATTATAAGAGATCTAGAATAACATTCTCATCTATAATATTAACTGTATGAAGAAGCAGACTACTCTTCTTGAAAATTTCTTCTAAGTCTGTGATCATACACTTTGCTTAAATTATGTTAAAACAGTGATATTTTATTTCATCAGTAAATTTCATATGATCTGACAGATCTATCTTCTTTTAATTCTTTATCAAAGAAAAGAAATAGAATATGAAGTTGATATTCACTTCAGAGTTAAATAGACATCTCACTGATATTTTCTTATTCAGAGTATGTATTGTGATTGTAATATAAACTTAAAGATATGAGAATTATCAATTCTTTTCTTTCTCTTCTTTATCTTCTATAAATATATTTGTCAGAAGAGAAGTTAACTTTGAGAAGATATCTTTTTAATTTCTTCTCTTCTTCAGCTTCTTATAATTACTGATATAGTGATTATCAGCTCTGCAGTTAAAATAGAGATCTTTGTCAAATCTTTTTTAATATTTCTTTACAGTGAGTGAAGAATCAGAATACTTGAAATTCTTCTTTACTTTCTTCACACTGAAGCTGTTATAACACTGTTTAGATTCTATTATTAATTACTTAGAAGAGATCTTGTTAATCTTTTTCTTAAAGAATTGATTATTTAAATAGATCTGAGAAGTCAGGTTAACAAACTCAGTATAATTAATTAATGAACTCTGATATTATAATATTATTATCTGCATCTTATGAGTCAGCTTTGTGAAATAAAGCTGTATTTTTAATTGATTTAAATTATCAGTCAGTTTCTTTCAATATTCTTCAAATCTTATATTGAAATTAAAAGAATTCTCATTATCTCATTGATATAATAAGTTAAACTGCTGTACTGCTGTGAAGCTGCAGTTGCAGTGATCTTTAATTTAATTCAGTAGAAAGTTCTTGAATTCTTCTTAAGTTATAATAGTATTGATACACTCAAGCTTTCTCTTCTTAATAATTCAAGTAGTTGCAGAGATATCTTTAAGAAGGTTGACAGTGTATATTACTTATATCTCATGAGTATTATACTAGCTCAGATTAAGGTGAAATTTCTGTTTAAGAATATAGATAAAGCTGTGAAATTCAGATAAGATATTTCTCTTATATCTTGATAAATCTCTGATCTTAATCTCTCTATCTTTATAATAGATATAGATGTGTAGAGGCCGCGGCAGTGACAGAACAGTTGAAGAGCTTATATTAAAATGCACAGTGAGTTCAGAAATCTTGAATTTCTGCTGAGATAGAAATATATATACTCTAGAGAATGATGTAGTGTTTCTCTCAGAGAATGAAGTCAGATCAGTCTCAGTGTAGATGTATAAGATTATATCAGTCTGTTAGAGCTTGACTGATTTAAATATATAATCAGATTAAGTGATTTAAATTGTAATATAATAGAACTGAAGCAGTGACTAGTCAGTAGTAATATATAGAGATAGTTATTTAAGAAGCTGTATAAGTGAGCTTAACTATCTTACTTAAATAGTGAGCTTATAGACTACACAGTTATTACAAGAATATCACAGATATAGTACTTAGTATACTAAGAAGATTATATAAGACATACAGTAACTCTTGTATATATTTCAGTAGAAATAAAATGAATCACTGACTTCTTTAATAAGAAGTCAGTATCTAGCTATTCTATATAGATAATGAGTGAATACTCTTCTCTTATTTCATGAGTGAGAATAATCAGAGTAATATCTTAGTAGTATCTCATTGTTAAAAAAGAGTAATCTGCTGATCTTGTATAGATGTAACGTGGCGGAACTGAAGCAGTGACTAGTCAGCGGTGACACATAGAGGTAGTTGTTTGAGAAGCTGTATAAGTGAGCTTGACTATCTTGCTTAAATAGTGAGCTTGTAGGCTACAGAGTTATTGTGAGAATATCACAGATATGATACTTAGTATACTAAGAAGATTGTATAAGACACACAGTAACTCTTATGTATATTTCAGTAGTAATAAAACAAATCACTGATTTCTTTGATAAGAAGTCAGTATCTAGCTATTCTATATAGATAATAAGTGAATACTCTTCTTTTATTTCATAAGTAAGAATAGCTGAAGTGATATCTCAGTGATGTCTTATTATTAAGAAAGAGTAATCTACTGATCTTGTATAGAAGCAGAGTTCTTATATTTATTAATCAGATCTTTCTATAATATATCTGAATAATATTATAGAGTGATTGAAAACCAGTTCAGATAGAATGAAATTATCTGTATAAAAGTAATAAGCTATGTGAAACTGTAACAGAGTCTTAACATAGCTGAGAGTGTGATAATACTCTTTCTCTTAAGAGTATAGTCTCTATACTCTTAAGATTATCAGATTAGAAATTATCTTTATTATATAGTAACAGTTATCAACTAATTGATAGTATATATACTGTATATAATATAAAGAAATAGATGAGTTATTCTGCTAACTGTATAGATCTTTCTTTTCTCATCTTCATTCAAATTAAACATGTGATAAGTGAGTTCCTTATATATTAATTTAAGATGAGAAAAATATAGTTAATAAGTGACTTACAGATCTCTCATCATATTCTGTTCTATATATGAAATTCCCTGTAAAAGTGATGTATTTTAGAGACAAAGCTGACAGTAGTAACAGGATTTTTTGAAAAGATCTCTCTCTTTATGAAACATTTTTCTTTCCTCTTTCTCAATTGCAATAGTGAGTGCATGAGAGTATCATTCTTGAAGAACAATCAAGGACTTATTCTGACATTTTCTAGTGAGTAAATGTCTTCATGATGCGGCAGTGACCTCTGTGACTGTCAAGAAAGCCAGATTGAAGGTGGCAGTGTCAATGAGCTGCAGAAGCATCACTTTCATTGCCACATCTCCTCCTGCTTCTCTTACAGCCGCGGCGGTTCTGCCGGTTGATGCATCTGCATTCAGTTCATCCCCTGCCTCCCTCACCGCTGTTGCAACGCCGCCCCCCCCTTCAGCTAATACAGTGGCATATGACCCTGTGTGATCATTTGAAGAGAAATCTGAAGAGAGCTTGATTTCAGAGACAGTGGCTCTGAGAAGCTCAATCTGTAGTTTCTCTCTCATGACATGCTCAAGCTCTGCTCAGAATACTGCTGAGTTGAGTCTGCAGAGTTCTGCAGTTTCTTCATCTTCTCTCTGTGAGAAGGCTCTGATACAGTCTCTGACTAATATCATTACTTATCTACACTGTGCTAAGCAGCTGAAGAAGAGAAGAATTTTATACACTCACTTCTTCTCTTACTTCTGTTATTTTCATTATATCTGTAACAATAACTTCTGTCTCTCTGTAAGTATTATCTCATAGAAAGACATTGTGTTAATTCTGATAAGAAGTCTAAATACTCAAGCAGTACAGAGTGAGAGTCTCAGAGCTTCAAGTATTAATAAATTCTGTTAAGACTGAGAAGATTCTTCTTACTTATCTATAAAAGAAGATGAAAGTGTGAGTCTCTGAGATGAAAAAACATCTCAGAATGACTAGCTCTAAGAAGAAGTCAGTCAGTGTCACTGTTAAAAGTGCTATAGAGATTAATTACTGATTGAAGAGAATCTCACTTCAACTGAAGTAGATAACTGAGATACTTTGTAAGTTGATAAGTTGATATTTTATGCATTTCTCATGCTCTTCTATAATACTGCAGTGCTAACTTCTCAGCAGGCAAAGATATCAGTACTGAAGACTTCAACAGTGAAGAATAAGTTTGATGAGAGTGTAGTTATTAATAAGTAGGCTCTGAGATTCTCTCTTTTTACTTTTTCAGCAGGCTGTGATCTTATTAAATTAGCAGTGACCTGCAGATTAATTAATATTAATCTTTTTATTAATTTCAAATATTTCTTTCTTTTTCTTATTAATCACTTCAGGAATTTTACACTTGTATAGTCTCATTAAACTTCTAAAAAACTCTTTGAGAGAAAATAGAAGAAGAGTGCTATAGAGTTTATAAGATGCTAACTTATCATTATAAGATCATCTCTAAAAAACTCTTTGAGAAAAATAAGAAGTCTTAAGTAATATTTCTTACTTAACATTTCTGATATGTAACAGAGCAGTCTCTACTAGCTGTCTTATAAATTACAATCTCTTTCTCAGCATTTTTCAAATACTTAAGTGATTTTCATGAATTCTCTGATGATAAATAATTTTCTTATTTAACAAGATATTGAAGCTTACTATAATGTGTTCACTTATTCAATATTTTCTTTACAAGATATTCAGTATTACTCTCAATCTCAATATTATTCAGTCAAGATAGCTTCATCTCAGAGTATTGCTTATAGAGTTTCAAATAGAAAATGTGAAAAATAGAATGAATTAATTTCAATTCTGTGAGTAATTTTAACTTATATATCTGCTTACTTATTACTTTTATTATCAGAAAAGATTCTAGTCATCACTCACTGAGCTTCTTACACAGTCTCATTATCTTGATATTCTTTGCTGAAAGTAGCACTTAATTCTCTATCAAGAACTTCATCAGAAGATGTTTTTAATTATAGTATTTTATCTATCACTTCTGAGTGCAGTGAATGCTTTTCATTATCTTCTTATAAATTTTATTCAAAAGTTTCAATCTTACTTTTACTTCTGATACTGAGAGATACTCTATTCTCTGTATCTGTTCAACATTCTAACTGTCTATTTCTCTCTTTAAAACATTGTTCATAATGTTACTGAGTAATGAAGAATTATATTCATAATAAGTATAGAAAGAAGATATTTTTAAGATTATATTCTTTGTATTATTATATATAAATTCAGCAGTTAGAAGATGTTTGAGCTAATTATTCTGATAATATAAATAGAACACTCAAAGATGCTGTTCTAGTGTCTGATTCTGATATTCAGTCTAGTCATCAGTCTGCAGATGAAATATGATACTGAGAAGACATCTTATTATAAGATGATAGCAAAAAGCTGATCAGTACTTACTGATAAAGAGAGATTCTTGATCTGTTATTAATAATTTCAGAGCATCATAATTATAAATAATAATATCTAAAAACAGGTCAGTCAATTCAGAGGCTTTAATCTTTTTATAAATAGAAATATATCTAGCTATCTTTATAAAGTAGTTAACAATGATTAAAATTGAGTTATATTCTTTGACTCTTGTTAACTTCAGCAGATCAACTATAAAATTCATCAATAGATTCTGTCATGAGTTCTTTGAAACAGGCAGTGATATTAACTCACTGTATTACTTATACTGTGAGATCTTTATTCTTTGATAGATATCATAAGTCTTAATATACTCTTTGACATCTGCTCAGAGCTTGTCTCAAGTGTATTTACATTTTAGAAGCTTCTCAGTCTTCTCTAACCTGAAGTACTCTATATAAGAATTATTATGATAAATTCTCAATAACTTCTGACACACTGCTCTGCTACAAGAGATGAAGACTGAATTATTCAGCAGTAGAAGTTCATATTCTTCTAGTTATCAGTGACTTGATTTCTTAGCAGCACTGTCTCACTCAGAGTCTGTCTCTTTTAAGTTTAAACTGAACTCTTTCTTCTTTAACTTCTGAATTCAAGCTGCAGTAGAGATGTTCTTCTTCTATAATTTATTAATGAATTTCAAAAGTAGTCAGATTAAAAGATTGTAGACTGTTTCATTCTTTATCAATTCAATGATTATAAGATATGATATAAGAAGCTTATGATCTTCAGTGTCAGTTCTCTACAGAGACTCAGATTCTCTTTCATCTTCTATACTGAGTTATGCAGCTGCCTCTTCAGCACTGTTTTCAAGCTTTAAAGAATCTCAACCCTCTGCAGCCAGCTTCTTCTGCAGTGATGACAGAGATTCTTTTATAGAATTCTTCTCTGTATTAATAATATTATAATCAGGCTATCTAGACAGTGTATCAGTGAGATTAAGCTGATCTGAACAGTATCAGATATAGAAATCATACTCTGAAAGCAGCTTCACTCATCTGACTTAACATTCTATCAAGCTCTTTATTATCAAGAAGTAACACAGATTTGCATGATCAGTGAGAACTTACACTGAGTACTTACTACTCTGAAGATAATATCACTAGATCTTAAAGAATTCAACAATTACTAACATCTTCTAATCATAAGTATCATATCTTCTCTGCATAAGTGATAACTTCTTGAAGAAGAAAGTCACTGATCTTCATTTATAATGTCTTATAGACTCTGTGAAAAAGTCTTCTCTCACAGACAATTCATTATCTATTTTCTCAGAGATGATTATTCTCTGATTCTTTCAATATTAAAAGATCTTCAGTGTCAACTGTGAAAAGATTTCACAGATCTCATTCTCAGATACATCAGTCTCACACTGACTGAATAAGTCAGAATTAAAGTGATTCAGTATTATAATATCTGTAAAAGCTTGTTTCAATTCTGTAAACATCTGAACAGTGTCTTGAGTGAGAATAAACAGTCTCATTTTCCTGTCTTTCATACTTCTCTTCAACAGATCTGTAAGAGAGACAGTAATCTGTGAATATGTATAGATGAATTGTCTGTAGAAATTTGCAAATTCTAGAAATATCTGCATCTCATGATACATTCATAGTGTCAGTCAGTTCTCAATGACAGAGACTCAGCTTCTGTTCATTGAAATGCCATTTATCTTAACAATATAATCTAAGAAATCAATCTTCTGTATATAGAACAAGCATTTTTCAGTGTTTATATAGAGTTGATACTGTCTCAAGTAACTCAACACTTCTCAAACATGAGTATCATATTCTTTCTTCATTTTTGAGAAGATTAAAATGTTGTCCAGATATACTATGCAGAAGACATTGACAAGGCCCTGCAGTGTCTCATTTATATAGATCTGAAAGATAACTGAAGTATTACAAAGATTAAAAGATAAAACAAGATATTCAAAATTGCTGTACTTAGTACAAAAAGCTGTTTTTCAAACATCATCTTCATTAACTCTGATTCTATGATAGATATTCTGTATATCAATCTTCAAGAACATCTTTGCTTCAGATAATCAATTAATCATCTTATTAATTAACAGTAATGAATAGTGATTCTTAACTGTCATCTTATTAAGACCTCTGTAGTCTATACATAGACATAGTCTATCATTCTTCTTAGGTACAAAGAGTATAGACATCTCTGCTGAACTCTTTGATAAACATATTCAGTTCTTTGATTACACTTCTTCAAGATATTTACACAGAACATTCAACTTCTTTACAGATAAGTTGTAAAGAGACTCATACAGCATTATTACATCATCTTCAAGACAAATCTTATATTGCATCTTGATATCAGGAAACTTCACTGCTTCTCTTTCTGAAAAGACATTCTTAAAATCTATAAAGAGATATTATATATATCTATCTTCAATGACAGATACTGCTGCTAATCTTACAGTAAGAGTGATGACTTCTTCATCTATCTTCAAGTCTTAATTATCTACTATATAGTATATCAACTCAATCTTTTTCTCAAGATTCTTTCAATGAAACTCTTCAGATTTCTCTATCACTGTCTCTTCATCAGTGAGATGATACTGTCATATCTGAGTGACTCAGTTAATAAGAGAATTGTTTTCTCTCAATCATAGAAGATCTAGAATGACATTCTCATCTATGATATTAACTGTGTGAAGAAGCAGACTGCTCTTCTTAAAGATTTCTTCTAAGTCTGTGATCACACACTTTGCTTGAATTATGTCAAAACAGTAGCATTTCATTTCATCAGTAAATTTTGCATGATCTGACAGATCTATCTTCTTTCAACTCTTCATCAAAGAAAAGAAATAGAATATGAAGTTAATATTCACTTCAAAGTCAAGTAGACATCTCACTGATATCTTCTCATTCAGAGTATATATTGTGATTGTAACATGAACTCAGAGATATGAGAATTGTCAATTCTTTTCTTTCTCTTCTTTATCTTTCACAGATACATTTGTCAGAAGAGAAATCAACTTTGAGAAGATATCTTCTTAATTTCTTCTCTTCTTCAGCTTCTTACAATCACTGATATAGTGATTATCAGCTTCACAGTTGAAACAGAGATCTTTGTCAAATCTTTTTTAACATTTCTTTACAGTGAG